TTTGTATGTTAATTACTGTGAATAAATTGGCTAGCAGTAATTTTGTGTCGGCGTGACTCACCGTACAGAGGGGGGGGGGTCAGAACAGTCACCCATAAAGTCTAATTCTTCAGTCATTATTGCCACTATGTGGAATAGTCTATCAACTAAGAATTAATATTGTACTTAGTCACTATACAGTACATAAATCTGTCACTTCAAGAAAGTGCTTGTTTCAAATTGAATAGGCTTGCTTTTAATTATTGTTAATCTGTTACGATCAAGATTGTCTAGACTATTAAAAACTCTCAAAATATTTTTACTTACTATATTAGTTTAAATTTATTTAAATATTGGCAATTCTTCTTTTATTAGGACGCGGTGTTTCAGTGGCTAAGACGCTGAGCTTGTCAATCAGGACGGCAGTTCAAATCCCTAGTGCAGCGTAATGGGGTGAGCTCCTGTTACTTGTCCCAGCTTCTGCCAACCTAGCAGTTCGAAAGCATGTAAAAAATGCAAGTAGAAAAATAGGAACCACCTTTGGTTCCATGCTCCTTTGGTGTTTAGTTATGTTGGCCACATGACCATGGAGTTGTCTTTTGACAGCGCTGGTTCTTTGGCTTTGAAACTGAGATGAGCATCGCCCCCTAGAGTCAGGAATGACTAGCACATATGAGCGAGGGGAATCGTTACCTCTTCCTAATTCTTTTTTTGCCATTAGTTCCAGAGACATGCACTTTTTAAATAAATAAAAATAACTTATGCATACAAGAAAACACCATACCACCGAAATGTGCAAAAAGATGGGTTTTATTATCCAGCTTCAATTTGACTATAATATGCAAAAACAACCTGTCACAGATTATAACTTTAAGAAATGCATATTCTAAGGGGGAAAGCCAAAAAGAAATATCCTTTATTGTATGTTGAATTACAGTTGACATAATGTCTCAAATGAAATTCATTTCAGGTTTTGCCTGCAGAAAAAAAATGACATCTACATTTGCATATTAAAATAGATACATTTGTTTTTTTTTAAAAAGCATTCTTTTCATTCAAGCAGACTGAAGCATACATATTGTTATGAAACATATAAAGAGTTCAGATAATAATGAAATATTTAACAATATGGTTTTAAATCACATGCGCATCTATTTCTTTATGAAAAATTGGCACTCAAATATGGTATCAAAGTACATATGAAAGTGATCATGATAATTCTTCTAAGGATCTTATAGGGTTGTTATTGTTAGCTTTATCAATCCTGCAAGATGGGTCATTCATTATAACAGCAGCTATCTGGGATAGTTCATCGTAATGTATTTCTGGTACCGGTAACTGTTCTGATTGTTATTTCTTTATCTGTTTTCTATTTCCAAGGCCCATTTTTTAAGAGCTTTGGCACAAAAATACTGCTCCTCTAGCTCTCAGCTAATTCTTTTTTGAGAGGAGGGTCTGTAGGCATGCTATGTAATTAGCATTTTAACTTTGGAGGTAAGTAAATTTTGATTTTTCTGCTACTGGTTACACGCTCATTATTAATACCGAAGATAAAAAAATGTAAGCCAGGCCCAAGTAAAAAAAAAAAAATCAGAATATGACATCTTAGATAATTCATATTTGGAAAAACTGGGGGGCAAAAAAACCTTTTCAAATAAACCTATATTTACTGAATAGTTTTACAAGACTTTATAGGATATGGTTCAAAAGAAAGGAGTCTGATTTACAAGGTCTTGTTATCAGCGACAGAAGAAAACCTTATTAAATCTTTCTTTTGAACCATTCCAACAGAAATAATTTAAAAAGACAAAAGATATGAAATCCAATTAGGAATGGCCATTCGAAATTACTATGATCTAAAAAGAATTTACATAGTATATAAAACATGCATCAAATCCACAGTAGTTGAAATATTGTGCTTGGTTCCCTATAGTTACTGCGGATTATCTTGAATGCTTCTGTTTCATTACCCAGGTTTTTCTCGGTTTATATAAAAGTATGGCAGGCTGCTTTGGAACCTAACTTAAATATTCCCTTTTATTTGTCTTGCCAAGGAAAGCAAGTTTTTAAACATCACAAAGGAATTGCATTTTACAAGCTTAAAAAAAAAAATTTAAAATATAATTTAAATAGAATTAACCCGTATATAGAAGCTTAAAATAAATACATTTTTTACTATTTACAAGCACCATTTACAATTTATTAGCTGCAACCAATGGTGCCAAGCACAATGATTGATACTGAGACTGAATTGATAAGCTACTTTGCATGGCTGTTTGCAACGTTGAAAACATTTGTTTAAAGGAATCCTTCTAAATCTTCACCTAGAATGCCTATTCAAGGGGGGGAAAGCCCTTACTTTTGATTCATTGATATATAAAGCTACCTGGATGGTTTACCTCCAGCCCAGTTAGTATTTCTGAATGCACCCTATGATGTCTTTAATATGGAGAATAGCCTTATAAAACCCACAGGTAAATTATATAATCATTTTTGGTGTTTAATTTTCAAACCATTCAGCTTTTATCTTATTCCTCTCCTGCTTGATCTATGGCGAGAGGGCTATTATTTGTTCATCGTAACTATAAATTAAGCAGCTTAGTTTAGTCATGACACTCTTTGCAAGTGTTTTTGATTAGCAATTAACTGAGTGAGATGTGCGTATTTTAAGAATCCCTTCCTTCCGTTATCCAAGTATAGAAGAAAAAACTGTGCCCCCTTGTGCTTTTTCTCCTTCCCATTTGTTTCACATTCACAACTATCCCACTGTGCTCATTTTGTGAAACACGAAATTCTGCCATCCCAAAATTGCTTCGGAAACTTTAAGCTTGGAATCTGTCTTACACTTAATTATGAATGGGAATTCTTTGTCTACTGCAGCTAGAATAGCTGTAATTCTGTTTCACATGAATACAATTGTGCCTATTATTTTGTAAATATTGCGAGATTTCTCCCTGAAAGCTGTGCCTTAGCTTCCCGAGAATCAGAAAGTTGTTATTTGTATAATGTATTTTAAAGAGATTATTTTTATTAATTACTGATTGTGTTTCAAATGTATGGAATTTTCTCCAAGATTATTCCAACATTAATATGCTAAACATCTTCCAAATATTGCTACGTATAAGGTAATAAATGCTTGCTTGCCAAATATATCCTCCCAAATGTATATATAGAACCTCCACAAAGCACATAAACTTGACTTTTTAAAATGCTGAGGTTTCTTTGTTTGTGCCACAGAGTACCTAGTAATTTTGCACTCCTAGATTTCTCCTAATGTGTGAGATTGCTTAATAAAAGAATATTTCACCTGATCTTTCTACATTAGAATGAATCGGATTTCATCTCTATAAACAGATTGCACCTGTTATTTGAAGAATGTCCTTCCTTACAATCGTGTATAATTTGAGATGGCCTATTTATGCATACAGATCTCTTGGATGACATCCAATAAAACATATTCTAAAATAAAGTTGCATAGACATTTGCTTGTTCTTTTAATATCAAATGGTAGAAAATGTATCTGTTTGCATTATTTAATCATGACGATGTGTTTTCAATTGTCTCAAGGCGATTGAATGTTATTTCCTCGATTTTCTTCTTTTCTTAACTTTTAAAATTTCTTATACTGACCCTCCCATATCCCATTTAGCCACATGCCTTTGTTATTCAAACAACCTTATATTTAATGCAACCATTTTTACTATCTGTCCATTTCGAAGCATTGGTTCCCCAACTAAGAGTGTCTGATGCTAAATAGCTCAATCCTCTTTCAAGACCTCCATTGTTGTGGAGGATGCGCTGACTGGGCCTGCAAGTGCCCCAATCAAGACTGGAAGACTGTGGTTCCTTCTCAAGCCCCCCATCAAATTGCTGCCTGCACTAACATACACTCCTGAGCCCTGTCTTTGGAGACAGCTATTTTCCCTCTGACTCTTTCTGTAACCCCCTGCCTCAGGCTGTTTGACAGCTCTAGCAATCCCCAGTTTCTTTAGTCTCTCTACGAGATTCATCTTCAGCTGTCCTGCATCAGGATTCGAGAGGTTTTGTCCGTACAGTTCATGTAATAATGTTTCAGCTGGCCGAGAGGCCAAAAAATTTTCAGACACACATGCTCGAGACTCAAAAGGCTGAGGGGAAGAACAAGGGGAATGCAAAGGAGAATTTGGAGGGGTTGAGGGCACAGCAGGCATCTTGGGATGAGGAAGCAGGGGTGTTTCAAGTTGGACCGGAGTGTTGTAAACCGTGGCTGAGATGCCTTGTTCTTGCAAAACTTTTGCTAAACTTCTAGTGCTACTGAAAGTGGTGGTTGAATCTCTTCTGCTTGTAAGGAATTCTCCAGTACTAAGCTTATACAACATGGGTGGAGAGCTGGTAATTACACTGCCTGTACTGCTACAACTTCCGGAGCACAAGGGAGAATACAAAGTACTGCAAAAACAAAATAAGAAGATAAAACACATTAAACACGGTTATTAACAACTTCTGTAGAAAGTGCAAAGGAGGGAGGGAAGGAGATATTCCACATTTAAGGTCAGAACCTCTGTGCCAGGCCAATTTTAGATCTGCATTACGTTGTACATATTCTTTTTTTCTTTATTTTTATTGTTTTCTAAAAAAATTGAAATGTGAATGCTGCTAATTTAATTAATATATCAAGTGTATCAAGTAGATGCTCAATTCCATATTGCCTGAATATAATCAATTTTTAAGAGTAATAGTAAACCTCCTTACCTGGGTGTAACCTGTGTTATATCAGATGGGTGAAGTATTCTACAGGTAGTAAAAGTAAATGTAGAGTTTGTAGAAGAAAGACATTTCCCTGGATTGGAAGCTGCAATGCAAATTATAACATATATGATGAAAAGGAGATGGGAAACATACCAGCAGGCTAATGAAAATCTGAATTAATGCAAAATTAATTTAGTAAATTCAATGCAAATAGAGGGAAGAAAACATGATCTACATTACTTTAAATCATCTTTCTAACATAATGCTTAAGACAGATAAATTACAACTTTTAAACACATTTTGCTATTTTAGAATGGGCTACTGTGAATATGGCAACTAGGAAACAGTTGAAATATTCTTCCCCATTTGTTAATCATAGTTAAAAATGTGGAATATATTCAAGCATTCTACAGCTCTTCTTTGGTCCAAAATCTACTTTTGCAATTAATAGTGTTTAAAGGATTCTATTCAGATTAATTTCAAGAACTGGATTAATTTTATTTGTTAATGTTAATGACAGGTAAGTACCATGCCAAGATAAGCTCTAACTATAATTAAAGTACAGGTAGTTCTCAGCCTATGACAATAGAGCCCAAATTTTTATGTTGCTAAGCAAGACAGTTGTTAAGTGAGTATTGCCCCATTTTATGACCTTTGTTGCCACAGTTAAGTGAATCCCTGCATTAATGTGGTTGTTAAGTGAATCCATTGACTTTGCTTGTCAGAGGATTGCAAAAGGAGATCACATGAACCTGGGACCCTGCAACAGTTATAACTATGAGACAATTGCCAAGCATCGGAACTTTGATCGCACAACCACAGGGCTGCCGTAGTAGTTGTAAGTGTTAAAAATGATAAGTCATCTAAACAAATATTTATAAATCAATGACTAGTGGGGCGGTGGACAAGAGATGGCGCTCTCGCCTCACAATCAGGAGGCTGTGAGTTTGATCCTAGGTATAGCAGACATTTCTCTCTCTGGCCATGAGAATTTATCTGCTGAATATAACTCCGCATTGGTGACAGGAAGGGCATCCGGCCAGCTCCATTCAATTGCCCAGACTCCACCCCGCAAGGGATTATGGGGTTCATTAAAAGATG